TAATAACTTAAGTTGTTAAACATTGAACAATTTGCAAATCAGACTTTTAGAATTCAAGTGTATTGATGAAAAATATATTATCAACAGGTAAGTACTCGACAGGGATTCAGGTAGATTATTTCACAACCTATAGCCAAAAACCAATTTCATGTTTTCTGATGATACTACAAACCTGATTGATAAAACCAGTACAGCTTGTCAAATCTAGGAAGATACTTGAGAAATATTTCTCTCTGTCTTCTCTCTCTCACACACACTCTTCTAACGAACGCAGATCTAGTGGGCGGGGCCATAACGGAATTCATAAAACTCTTCTTATATTTGACAAGCCGTAGGTAGGTAGTGCAAGTATTGCTGATACTTGCACTATGTTTTGTTTATAACCTCTATCCGAAGACAAATTCAATATATCTCTGAGAACACTTTATCTACCAATTTGAATGGTTATTCCTTAGTTTCTTTTTTGCCATATGAGAGTAGTCCATATCATGAACTTGCGGAAAATTCTAGGTTTGTATATTTGATTTTCATCAAAGAAAATATATCAGTAATGAGAGTAATAATGATTGTTCTTCAAACGCTGGCAGAAACGAATAACAAAATAAAGTCAATTTGATTATTTGTGAACTACAATTATATTCTTTTTGTCATCTAGATAACTCAATTTATTCTGATAGGTCGGTCGGTAGCCAGGCGGTTCGTCGTGGGTGCTTTGTTCACTCACTTGAATTGACTGCCGTGTTGGTCGGTGGTTCGAGCCCTAGTTTGAACGATCGATTTTCACTTGCTATCGTCGTGTTAGGAATCACACGTTAAAAGGTAAGACCTCGTTAATCCTTAGCTAGCACAATTTTCGACTTCTGAGGGTTGTCGTTCGTATGGGTGCGACAGCTGGTTAATGGAAAACTTGATTTTGAACAGGTCTCCGCATTGAAAATAAAAACTTTCAGGACTAAAGTCAAGGAAACTTACTGGTCACTAAATGGGTCCGTTTCTTCTTACCTAGGTCATTTGTTTGAAAACTGTCACTCGATTGTGAATATGAAAAGGCTATTATTTTATTGATTCCACATAAGCAAGATATTTACTGAAACATTTCCCGAAATCCATTACGAGAAACTTGTTGGTTATTTTTTTTTCAAAAGATTTGCATGTTTCCAAAAACTGTTGGTCAGTTCAAAATAGACACAGTCAATAGCTTAAGTTATTTTTTCTGGGGACATGTTGGAGTTTCCATTTGTAAAAGTCACTTTAGACGATTTATTAAATTTCATTTTCATTCTTGTTTTTTGACAACCCTGTATCAGTAATTATTGAAATTTCATGTAGAGTCTATAAAGTCTTTTACAAGGAATCCAATGAAGATTACCACAATAAAGCCCGAAAGTCAATCAAAACAATTATTGTAGGATCTGCAAACATCATTTTTGACATAAAAACTTGAAAATGTCAAAAACGATCAGACTTAGATATATGTCCGTCCACACAAACAGTATTTAAATTCTGATGTAGAAACCAAAAATGTAATTATATACATATAGGGTGTTCTATTTGAAATAACGAAGTCGATAGCTACTTCCGTTATAATCGAAAGTGCCACCATTTCCAAACTATTTCAGCCGAGTTGCACCCATTGACTTCAGTATATTGTCAAATTTTCAGATTTCTTCTAATTATAGTTTTTCCACAATCGATCGATGCAATTCTCGGAGATTCACCCTATATATCTTCAAGTTTTTGTGTGAGAGTTCTTTCAAAGTTCATTTTTGTAACCATCCATAAATGAAGCGTAAACTGTTCAAATCTCATATCGACATTATTTGGGGATCTTACAAAAGGGACTTAGGGACATACTTCATGCGATAATGATTACAAGTGACAAAATGTTCGAAAAATTCAAAGATTCGAGTTATCCTATTCGGCAGAAAATGTATAGAAATGTCAAAATCCTGTCTCGTAATCCATTTTGGTTTTATCTCTACTATTGATATCGACAAAGGATGAAGTTGGTCAAACATTTGCATTGGGTATTATGTGGGAGAACATCGATTCATGATTATTATAGAATTAATGGAGTTATCCATTTTCAGGATCCATTATCAGAGCAACAAATAATTTGATTATCGGTTCCGTCATGTTGGCTCAGAATGATAAACAACTGCTATGAGATGAATTGATTTAAACACAATGTCAGAGAGAAACTCTGTTAATGAACTTGTAATGTAGTTACAAAGGGACTTTAAGATGCGACAAAGGAGACCGTGTAGAAACGTAAAATGAATGGAATTGATAGTAGGCAAAATGAAACATGTTATGTTCCTGTAAACAATTTTGATAATTGTTAATGTCTTTCGACACTTGAAAAAACTGAGAGTATATTTATATAGGTTAATTAGTTTTGTGATTCAATAATTTTTCTGAAAAAGGGTTGGTTGGGTAACAAAATTTGAACAATTGAGTATCAATACTTTTGAGATAATTTTAATTGAACAATTAAACATACTGATTCAAATAATCTTATCGTTTTTCTGGAGAAAATACCGTTGATGGTGTTTCCCTTCTCAAGATAGTCGATGAATATTACACGCACATCCCAAAATACCGAATCCATTACCTGTTCAGCAGATTGTTGTGCTTTCGGGCGCTTTAGACAAAGTTCAGCAATTGCTCTCCACTCAGATGACGATCAGTTTGATTCCGAAGTAGAGTAATGGATCCATGTTTTATCCATTGTCACATATTTACGCAAAAATTTTGATTTGTCACTTTAAATATGGCCGAACACCGCTCGGAATCATCAATACATTCTTGTTTTGGTGACAAAAACAGTCAGAAATATCTGATAATCAAATGTTCATGCAATATAAAGCCAAGCCAACACTTTCTTTTGATATCTGTACAATGTCAGCTAACTCGCTTCACATTTCGATCATTCGAAACGATTTCGTGATTTTTTTATATTTTCTGGTGTTACTGCTTCATTTGAACGTCCACCGCTGATAGAGCAGAGCAGTAACAACTCGTTGGATAAAGACAAAAAATGATCAACGTCCAAATCAACCGTTTGATGGTTAAATCCACTTCCCATGGTATTATAGAAGTCGTGAACTTTTAAGGTTCAAGTGTCAACATGACAAAATGGTTTTGGGTTGATTCTAGAGGTTGGAATCTCCTTCTCACCATGGTCTAAATTTTTGCAAAAGCGGGGAGTGAAGTGATCAATGAAATCGAATTGGTTCTAGACAATGATTAAAGTAATATGAACCCTACTTGGTCTTCAGATCAAGCATGGTGTACCGTTGTCACTAGATTTTAGAATATATTCTAGAAGATATCCAACCATCTACAAGGATTCAGAGTTGTGAGCTTTTATTGTGAGGGTGTATGTATAAAAGGCGAGCAGTACCACGTTAGATGTAAATATGTGTAGTACATACAATCACAAAGTATATTCGAAACAAGCAAATTTTCCCAAACACCAGAACTGCAATTATCTTCTCGACGCGCGTTTCACCAACCAAGTTCGCGTCTTCAGGAGGCGAAGTGGGTGAGTTTACCGCACCAATAGGGTACATAGCGAGAATTCATGCTCTGAATGTGTTCAGAGCCCAAAACCTCAGGGAAAACATATCGCATCTTCAGAGGCAGGGCTATGTAGCTCCTCTTCAGCCTGCTTACGACGTGGTAGCAGTTTCATCACCTGTTGGTACGGCTGGCAGGTCTTTCACGTCCGCAGTGCGGCGAATAGCCTCAAAAATATGATGTATCCATCTCACTTCGAGATAAATCATGCTGCTGACCACCAAAACCTTACTGTTGGTGATCAGCAGTAGGAAGCTTCGACACCCTTAGCTCAATAAACTGCTCAATCCAATAACCTGGGGTGGAGTTCGAAGAGCCCTTGTAGGTTCCAAGAACTTCCCTGATCCAGGCCCAAACGACACTTAATAATGGAAAAAACTACTAAGTGGTCACCGCCATCCGGTCAGAATTTTAAACTCATGACTGGACCATGAACCAATATGTGTTGATTTCTGAAAATTATAGACAAATAACATGCTGAAATTCATGTTATGAGTTGTTTACGAGCATCTCATGCATATTCCTCAAAGGTATTTGCATTTCTCACAACAGGAAGGCCATGGATTTCCGGGTTTAGAGTGTCTACATAACAGAATGGTACTGTAGATGAATTGGAGAGTCATCACAAGTTCAGATCTTTTCCTCTGCATGTTCCACGACCATGAAAGGGCATGATTTGTATCATTTCTCTCCAGGGCAACTGCCTGAGAGGATGATGAAATCAGTTAAGTTTTCGACACTTAAAACAAGGTGATCACAACTCTGTCATTGATCTGGAACCCCTGTCCACATGTACGGGATCTTCTTCAATAACATTGAAGACCATGGCTCATCAGAGCACATGACTTTCGCTTTTCTCAGAGTGGAGGAAAGTCAGAAACTGAGAGCTTCATCATGGCCTGCCAGAAGTTCGTCTCCAACACCTTAGTCTACCGCAGTCGCGTAATGGGTATATAGTTTCCGGACCCAAGACTTGCTGCGAGGTCTTTGATCACTTGCTATTATCATTTCTAGCTTATGCAGTGTCAGCCTATATCAATTGAAATAACGCGGTGCTGAGAGTGATTAACACCTGCAGCACTTTCACGGTATTAACGAGACTCCGGTGTTACCCAACGCTCTGATGTGGAAAATGAGAACTATTTATCATCCACCCCAAAGGCTCATACAAGCTAATAAATGTAGTTTTGACCCAAGTACATTAACAATATTTGTTTCCTTCAATAAAATCGCTCTTATTGCGAAAATCTGAAAGCAGATTCTTCGATAAAAAACTGAATAGTATCTAGAAAAACAAGAAATAAGTACTCAAGAAAGGGTATTTGACTAGTTGACTGAATCGACAATATGAGATCGCAAATGCCACTCTTTATAGAATGAATAATAATTTTGTCACACCAAAAATAATATTGAGGTACCTTGAGCTACAGTTTTTTTCGATGCATAACTATTTGAGGGCTTTTTCAGAGTTTGATCTTCAACTGCATCTACGTCGCCATTGATAATAATCTCTTCCATTTCCTCATACTTTAGTTTAATTTTCATAGCATCTCCATCATCAATACTTTTTCTGTCATCATTGTGGCTGTCAGCATCCTCACCTTCTTCTGTACTGCCTGAGAAAGAACAAACTAATGACAGAAGTTTAATTTTTAATGAGTTTCTATAATGATCACCATAAATGATAAAGGAATTCAATAATTAGTTGAGAAAATCCTTTATTTCAGAACCTCTGGTACAGAACAATAAATTCCCGAATCATATAATAAATTTGGGAAATAGTTTGGATCATAGAATAGAAATTGTTCATAATATCAACTACAACTGGAAACATTTGTATCAAGATAGCGGTCTTGTGAATAAATCTAAGCCTTCGAAGTTTTTTTCCTCATCTTGGTCTTCATACTTTTCATACGCTTTTGCTAGGGTCACGACAATGGGTGTCAAATATTCAAGTGATCGCTTGTTCCTTCCACTGCTTCTAGCAGAAGACATTTCTCCAGCTACTAATTGATCCACGAAGTAATCCAAAGTGTTCTGACATCCTCCAAGTACGTAGCATATCTTATATGCTAACAATGGAAACGAAAAAGCTAGAACACCCGCTAGGCCCACACCTACTACGAAAACTGCTGATCCAAGTGCAACCATATTATAAGCAGTCCACCCGGTTCGGTTCACTTCCTTCCTCTCTGCGAGTGTTGTTTTGCTGGATAATTGTTCAGATAATGCATGCGGAATGAAAACAATTATGCATAAAAACGGTAATAGGTACATCTTGTGAGACATCTGAAATAGAAAAAATTTAGTTAAATAATATATTTCCATTCAACTGCATCCATATGAATTTCATAAGCGAATAAAAGAAGTCGTCAGAATATGAAACTCATCAAGTTGATGAAATGATTTTATGATATAAGTGTCTCATTTTTTATTGAAAACACTTTCACAATACCAGAACAAAAGTTACGATCTCTCGACGAGCGTTTTGCTAACCAAGTTGGCGTCCTCAGGAGATCATTGTCTCATTTTATTGATATGAAACTTCGAATTCAATCAGTGCCATCTTAGTATTATAGAGATATTCATGTAATGAATTAATACATAAGTAATCATACTTATGTTCATTGAACCGCAAGTATTATTCATGAAAAGAAACAATAAATATAATGCCAAATGAATTGTGAATCTTAAATTTTTAGTATTTACCCTAGAGTTGCCAGCTCTAAAATTTGTACAACAAAGCAGATTGTTTTATGGCATTATTTTATTTTGGGTATTGCTAAGTTATCTTGTTTGAGTTAATTAGTTTTTCCATATTCTCAAGGGTCTCCCAATCTGGGTTTTCCAGTTGGTCTTCTAATGTATGGGTCTTTTTTCAATTCACTTATCATCATTATATTCAATATTCAATATTCCCAAATATCTTCATCCAAGCAACCCATATATTCGTCTATTTTACGTAAATATTGTGAACAATAAATAGCTAGATTTTAAATTCCTTGAATGTTCCTTGTGTCCCTTATCTTGGGAATTACCCGCTATTATGACCTTTCCTACCTATGTTTATCCAAACCTCTACCCAATATCTCACAGAAAAGTATTTTTTGAATTCGTTAGTTATGGATTTTCATCAAGTATCGGCATATATTTCAATCTAGTAAATTATTACGATAAATTCTTATTGTCTACTAAAAAACAAAATTTTTCAATGGAATCATCAAGATTTGATGAGTTGTGAAATTCTCACATGAATAAAGTCAATCAACCAATTATGAAAAATGAATTTTTGGAGTGAATATGGAGTGGAAAATATGCCTGTAGAACGGTTTCACTCAAAAAGAGATGAGAAACGAAACTTGCATGTGAAATATTTCGAGGCTATAACAAAAATGTTCATTAGATAGTGATATAAATGATTTGAAATCAAACAAATGGAAATTATCCTCATGACTTGTTTTCAAGTTTTTCAATATTAGGCACTCAATGATATGATAGATCCATACAAATGTCACAAATTAAAGTCATTATTAACATCTTTGTTTCCGTTTTTCATAGAAATACATAAGGAAATTCACTTACCTTATGAAATTCACTGCTCTTTCTGTGAATTAGATGTATCTCCAACAATTGCTTTAAATGAACTGACTGCATCGGTAAACTGACGAATTCAGGTTCAGCGAAAATAAACTACCAGGTAGCAACTTTTAAGGGTTGCACTCTATTTATTCTTATCAAATATGCGAATCTCAGTTTTGTCATTTTCGAAATCTGTTACGCTACCTTTTAGTAGTTGTTAATCGTCCATTTTAACTTTTCTGATTACAAAAACTGCTGTTGAACCAGATGAGGTAACTCAGTTAACAATACGTCTACACAAAAAAGTTTTAAGAAACACCACGAATGTTATCTTTTTGAATATTCGAACTGGATGCTTCACAGAAATACAATCTCTTTGCCTATTCGTTCATCTCTCCAACAACGAAAATTCGAACATATGCAACTCGAAATTCATTTGACAATTTTAGTTTGAAAATAATATGATTTCAAGAATAGAAACGAAACAGATTTTTTTTCAATTATAAAGAATATGACAGGTATGACAGATTATTTCCTTCAATGCATGAAAACGATAAAAAGTTCGAAGGCGTAGCAGTTCAACCGATTAAAATGAAAGTAAATCAATGCTCATGATAAGTTCTGACATCAGTATTTTTTAACACGCTTTTATTAGCTTCACCTGTATGTATGTATGTTTGCTTGTTTGTTTGTTTGTTTGTTTGTAACTCTCAAGCTCGGGATCTGTGTTTGACAGAATTATCGACATTATTGCTTGATCTATTCGCGGGCAGATGGTGCTGTACGTAACCTCCTTGATATATCGACATTATTGCTTGATCTATTTGCGGGCAGATGGCGCTGGATATAATTCGAAGTCACTTTATATGTATTCCNAATAAAATTGTTATTTTCGGTTAATCTCTATAATTTTTTTTTAGGGATTTCAAATCAATTTATATTATATTAGACAATGGAAGTCCGAATTGATGAAATTGAATTTTTTTGTTTGTTTTTGGAAAATGAATTTTGCAAAAAATAAGATTTGCTCAAGATTTGGTAACCGAGGTTTTTCGACGTGGGAAACCATGATTTCTCATTTTATTCACTTACCGCCTCAGGAGCTGAGTAATATGCATCGATAAAGAAAATTGTAAACATTTTGAAAACCATCACCTCCAACGTTGTTAAGAAAGTGTACCTTTTTTACTTGGAAAATCTGTGAAAATTAGGTTTTTTCAGAAAGTACCAGAAGTTGACTGTCAAAAAAATTAAGGCAATTTTGTAATAAATAATGACAGCGTACGCAGCGCCCTCTAGATGTTACATGAAAATTAATAGGAAATTATGACTTCTACGTCGAAAAAACTCCGTGTACCATATTTTGGACAGATAACTTATTTTTCGAAAAGTTATTTTCGAAAATCGAACAGTTTCACTACCCTGTATCTCCGAAATAAAGCATTTCCGGACACAAGTTTATGTAGACTTTTATAACAATTGTCTCAGGAATACGTCACTTGAATATTCCAATATACTTATGTAACACCCTGTATATCGGTACAACCATCAGAACCAAGTTTCAGCATTGAAATCATATTGAATATTGAATGAGAAAGTGGTAAGCTATTTTATACCCAAACGTCAATGTACAAGAAATTTGATGTAAATTATGAGAAATCAATTCAAATCAATATCTGATATAAAAATTCAATTAACTGCCAGAAAGTGTACTAAGAATGTATTACAATTATGTCAATTTCATTCAAAAAGTCTTTATTTAAAATGCATTCTTCTGCAATTCCTAAATTCTCTTTGAAAAACGTCCTTCTGATTAGTGTGTTTCAACTACTCATTATCCACTCTTCCTCAACTTCATGAATTCTTATCATTTATTCAGAAATACGGTAGGAGTAATGGAAATGTCAAGTATCTATTTCCTGTTCAGGGTACACATCAGAAGTGGTCAGGGAAGGACAGGTAACTGAGGTGACCCAATGAAATTTTCTAGACATTCTATCGAAAAGCGTAGAAGGTTTTATGTTTGAATGTAAACAAAATAATGAGAGGCCTTTCATCGTCAAGTGGCGAAAGGCATGAGTGCTGTGTAGGAGATTCGATTTCGGCGTGTAAACTTCATGTCAACGATAATGAAATTCACTGACCTCATTCATAAAAATGCCATTTGTGGCAGTTAATCAACTTCACAAATTCTAAGAGAAATATCGACCTCCAAACATATTGTATTTTGGAGAAAGGAAAAAGTAGGAACTAATTTCATTTCGTTGAGATTGCGTCTCTTGCCTTTCACAATATAAATAATTCTTGAATTGAAGGGGTTATATTTTTAGGAGTGATAAATTTTTTGGGAAAGAAAGTTTTTGGCTTTCTACTACTCCATCTGATACAAAAAAAAAGGATGAGAGAATCTTCCAAAGAAAGAAAGGAAGTTATCAATTTGAAACTCTATACATGAATGTGTAGATTATGCAAAGAAGTATCTTTCAGACACAAACTGAAAGAAAGTCCTCCTGAAACAGCTACTTTCATATAAACATTGAATTACACGAAAGAAAATAATTCTTTCGAAACAAATACTTCTATATGATAATTGATTACTTTCTTCCTTTCTTTGGAAGATTCTCTCATCCTTTTTTTTTGTATCAGATGGAGTAGTAGAAAGCCAAAAACTTTCTTTCCCAAATAATTCTTAATTTCAGAGCTGTCATCAGACAAGTAGACTTCATTCAAATTGTTGAGAGACTACGAGGACACAATTGTTTTGTAAAGTAACACTAGCCAACAATTTAAAAAAAATGCGAATAATATTATAATGGCTAAACATGAGAGTTTAAAGCATCCTGACAGCGACTTCAACATCAAAAATTTTCCATCACGTAAAGATTTTGAGTTATAGTTATTTTCATTTTATACAAAAATTTTCACATATTATTGGTAAATATAAGACCAAAACAAGAAAAAAAAAACAATATATTTTGAGAATAATAGACTTCATTTACAATACACATGAAAAGAAAATCAAATGAAGTATTTTGTG